CCCCCAAATGTGTTTTGACAACTCAATAGCTGCAGCCAGTAATAATGTCAATAATACTAAAATCATGAGTCAAGCACTATAGCGAAGAACTTTACAGGCACTACCTCATGGAATTTCCAAAGAAATACTAGGAGACCAGTACCTGTGCTGTCCTAGTAATAAGCAATAGGAGGTCTAACAGGATTAAGGTAGTTGCTCAAAGTTGACCAATGTCACAGCAGTGGGATTTGAACTCAGGCACCTGAAGCTAAGCCTGTGCTCTAACTACCATGTACAATGATGACAGGTCACTGAGCCCTTCCATATGAACTGTCTTGATTTATCACCCAACAAGTGAGTCTCATCCTCTTAGGTTGCAGTGTTCAATGAGGGTGGAAAATGGTCTGACACATAAATTGTGTAACAACATCAGCGTGTTCAGTTCCAGGCACACATGGGGCCTTAAGAAGGGAGTATTAATTTCTGTGAATGAACTAAAAGGCAGGCAAAAGGGGTTAGGGGATCCTGAGGAATTAGTAGACTTCCCGGGCTAAGTGCAGAGAGCCATCCTAGGTGAAGGTGAACGGGAGCCTCAGAGGGCCGAAAAAAAAAAAAAAAAAGGGGGGGGGGGGGGGGGGAGGAAACAAAGCAAAAAATAGGAGAGGGAATCGCATGCTATTTAACGTCAACGTAAACGCACGTAATTGGATACATGCCGCAGGCATTCAGAAAAAAGAAAGAAAAACCAATAAGAGAGAGAGAGAGAGAGAAAGAGAGTGAAAACACGTTTGTGAGAACATACCAGCCTGTATATAATGCAAACCGACAGAAAAACAAAAGACCAAATATGCGTGTAATATGCAGATTAAGGAAAACAAAAGCCAGAGCAGGGAGGGAGGATCATCGAGATAGGAGCATATAGGATGTGAGAACGGCATTGAGACAAAATAGGAGAAGAGAGGAGCTGAGTGGATGTGTGGGTGAGACGAAAGTGTGTGAGGAGGGGGAGGAAGAGGGATGGCGAGAATGCCCTCCATATGCAACGCTCATGTAGGAAGAAGTCGCGGTAGTGGTGGCCGTAGCGGTGGTCGTAATAACATTAATAAAAAAAGAAGTTGTGAGAGTATGAGCTGATTGGTGGTTGATCAAAAAAGGGCCCGCTCTTAATCCTCTTCAGTTGGAGGGGACCGGCCATCCCTCGATCCGGCACTCCCTCCACCTCCTGGCCGCTTTTTCCAACCAAGTTTCAACCCCATTTTCTTCCATGAATTTTCCGGTCTTGCTTTGGGACTGTGGCCCTGCCCCTGCGCCCCAGCATGCAATCCAACGTCGCTATATGACGGGGTTGTTGGTGGCGTCATTAGTTCACCCGAACTAGGATTGGATGTCATGCTTCCAGAATCATCAGTGTTGGCGGACGCAAAGTCACCACTGGTTGGGGAATAGCTTTGGCCCGAGCTTCGGGATTCCGACCGGCCCACTGACGTGTTGGATGGTAGAGAGTACCCGGCAATAGGCGAGCGTGGCGAGGCAAACGACGACTGGGGTGAGAGTTGCCGGCGTATGGAAGAATGGCGGGGCATTTGGGAATCATCCTCCGCTTTTGTTTCATCAAAGGGCGAATGTGGTGTTATCGCAGGTGGACTTTGGCTGTGTAGAAACGGAAGGAATATTGACTCTTCCATTAGATCTCGCATCCTCCTGACGGCGGAATCGAGTGTTTCTGGCCGAGGTGGAGTGGGTGAGTTTGAATGGCTTAGGAGGTCGTCTCTGACCTCACTAGATACGTTGATCTCGCGTGGAGATGCCGGAAAGATGTATGCTGTCAATATCCTCTGGAAGAGCTTACAGAGATGTTGTGTTCGTGAGGGGTCGGCGTAATAATTGTCCTGATACCGCTTCGCCTCCATCGTAAATTCGAGGGTCTCTAAACAATGGTTCTGAGAAAGGAAAGCCATGAAAGCAGAGAGTGTGTAGGGCGGCGGTGAAACTCCGGACAATACATCGTCCAGGGTCGGTCGAGTGCCGGTAGAGGGGATAGCAAGGCTGAGTGGTCTGGTGTTCGAGTGCCAGCCTTCCATCGCGTTATCGTCGTCCGAGTCACTATCTGAGGGGGCGGGTGACAGTTGAGGCGTTTGGTCAGGGGTGGGGGTCCGGAACAAGAGCGCAGAGTATCGCGATGTGCCCGTAATCATTGCGCCCAGACAACGACAGAGCCTGGTCTGCTTCCTATTCCTTCGAGCCTGTTTCCGGACTCTTTTCCCCACAGGGCTTCCCACCCCGGTTTCCAGCTGTTGTTGCAGGTTGAGACGTTTTCCTTTGATCCACACAACACGGATTTTTTTTTGTTCAACGCCACCAAGAGCGCCTGACCATGAAAATCGTTATTTCTCTTTTATTTCTCTTTTTAAATCCTTTACTTTTATTGGCGGTATTCTAGCCCCCCAAGGATACCTACTCAAGACCCCAAGGCCTGAGGAACCAGGTAATTCGAGAGTTCCAGACGGTGTATCTTGGTATAGGAACCCGTGTAGCGAGCTGTGGAAAGGTCGTGTGAGCAACAATTATTGGCGTCGAAGATAAGTAAGGGACGGGTTAGGCATATCCAACGAAGACCTCAGGGAAACACATACAGAGAGTCTTTCAGACGCAGCCTGTCCAAAAGGCGCTGGCTTTTCGTGGCGGAATAGCGGTCAGAAACGACTGATAACTATTGGATTGGGGGGAAGGGGAGGGGACTGAATTATTCGAAGAGGAAACGAGATGTCAACAGAGGGAGATATATTATATATATATGTGTGTGTGTGTGTGTTTGTGTGTGTGGGTGTATATATATATATATATATATAGTATAGTGTTTGGTGGAGAGCACACCGGGTCAGACGGGGAATGCACAGTAGACAGCAGAAATAAAGGGACAGAGATCACGAGGGACTGGGAGCAGTGGGAGAATAAAAGGAATTTGAAGACGCAGGCGGAATAAGCGATATCAGCCGTGAGACGAAGATCAAGCCAGAGCGAGCGAGGGAAGAAGGCGGGCGTTGCCTGATGAAGTCTGTCTGATCTCCGCCGTGTCTTTGCTCTTGCGGTGTCTCTGTTGTTGGCCGAGTGTGTGTGTGTGTGTGTGTGTGTGTGAGTGTTGTACGCAGAGTAGAAACGGCAACGCAGGTCGGCGGCGGCGGCGGATCCTTGGAAGGCGTGGAAGTCAAAGCCAGTTCCTTCGCAGCGTTCCCTGCCAGGTCGGTTGGCGCTGACATGGGGTGGTACCGGGTATTACAGGGGCTCGGTAATTTAATTCGTTCTAGAATATTACGATTCCGTATGGTGCCAGAACGTGGGTTTTGGGTATCATTGTATCATCGTCAACAGCAACAACAAATGCTGCGGTTTCTTGCTTCCAAGGTTCCTTTTCTTATCTCCTTTACAAACCATGCACGACTTTTTGTTGTGCTTCAAGCTACGGAGCACCTAATAGCGATGTTTCAACTGTAGCTAACTATGTATGTCTGACTGGCATCTATCTGGTTTCCCTCTTCATCCACGCCCTTGCGCTTAACTAACTCTAACCATAACCCCCCATCTTCACTTCTGATCCCTAATTTCACTTGCAACTCCGATCTGCATATGACCTGAGAAAGGCCATTATTTTTAATTTACCCAGAGGGAGCTCCACATTGACCAAGCCAAAATTGTAGCTAAAGACTCCAGTCAACTTAACTCACTTGGCTAACTAGCTGTCCAGTTACGTCTTTCTTACGTAACCGGTCTAAAGTTTCATTGTTAGTTAACTAGTTAACTCACTAAATAACTTGAACTTAACTTAATTGTCTTTGTATTCCTATCCTGAACTTGCGTGCCAATCACGTTATTGCAAACGCCCGCGGCATTGTTTTGTAATAGACGAGGAGGGACACTGAAGATTTGATGTAATTGCAAACCATCCACCAAAATCCAATGGCTCCCCTTCAGTCATCAGGTTGAGAAAGCAGGTTGGGATGGCCCTGCTTTAATGGAACCACTCAAATCGAACTCTTGGCTTATTACTGATGGGTGCAAACAAACCGGGTTCGGGTGTGGCCATCTTGGGGCTGGCTTGGTTGAGCAAAGACCCTCCCCCAAACAGCAACCAGGATATCAAAAGCATCAATCACGTCCCATCTTCGAGCGCGTGGCGAGAACCTCGCCTTCCAGACTCCAGAGGAACTACCTGAAGGGGAAATCAGACACCCAGGATCTCACCCGGGATACAAGAGCTTTGAAAATGGATGGCAAAATAAACCACGGGCCCCCTATCAGAAAATGACGTAAATTACCTTACTTTGCCACAGGGACGCTGCAGGTATCCAGCCTTGTCAGTTGAGCAAAAAGTATGAACAAACCGACAGACCGACAGACCGACAAACCGACAAACAGACAAACAGACAAACCCGACAAAACCAACAAACCCCCAGATAGACAGGATTTTCAGGTAGGTTGGAGACTTTCTGTGCTCAGAGTTTGTCCACCAACGATGAACATGCGTTTTCGCCCAAAAATACAGAATACGGAGATCCACGATTAGCGCAAGGCCAATCTGCAATCAAGACCTGGTGGCTTGGACGACACCCCTCGCGGCGCACGCTTCGGTCTTTGGTCTCTTGTTCTTCGTCTTTTCTTTGCATGTTCGTTGGCTGTTTTCCATTTGGAATC